ATTACGCCAATTGGCATGCCCTTTTATGAGTTGGGAAGATCGTGGGAGAAGTCAGGCACATGTTTGTCATATGCTATGCATTGATAATAGATGAGGTTATGTCTCAAAGACAACTGATTTGTTTTGCACTTCCTTTACGTAGGCTACAGAGAAGCATCTTTTAAAATGATGACTAACCTGTGCTTAAAAATTGCCCTCGTAGTTATAGCAACGCTGTGTGAATGAACATATCTGAACATGTTGGTGGGGTGTTAATTAAAATGACATGGACTGTTCGATGTACCATCGTGATGGAAACCAAAACTTGGAAGATCGAAGATACAGCGCCGCTGCATCTCAACACTTACATTTATGTAGGAGTAATTCCATAACTGCTCATATAAATTGTCCATCTCCAATACACAGCTCACAATATTGTCTATTCAATGTCTATCCTCTCTGCTAAACACATCCGACCTCAGAAAATTAACTATTTATCGCACTTTTTCTACTTGTGGGTCTCATGCTCAATCATCCACTTTGTATGCCTACTTGCACTGCTATACGCCAATTATTAGTTTAAATCCCGGTTTTGGCATTGGGCCAACTGGGGAGTTATGCCAATAGACAACGTGGAACAAGGCGGTACACCCTCAGTCCTTCTCTCTGTGAACACTGCATGTTCCGCCCAAGTATTAATGCCTCGAGATTACCCTAAAGAGGAAAAGAGAAGGAAAACTTTGGCACAATATGTGGTGTGGATGTGCATTAGGTCTTGGGGCTACTGGCATGAACCTAAAACCAGGTCGTTCGTTGAAGGTATAATGGCGGAGCACCTCAGTGACACCCCTACCAAAACCGAGAGTTAAACAAACGATTAATGCATAACAGAGCCCTTATCCCGTGCTGAGTGGCGTCCACGGCGCCGTCCTTGGTCAACCGCCCTTGTCGGCCTTCACAAGGCAATGGGTGCAGCAAGGAAGCACCCACGAGTCAAACGCACCGGTCATCGAGTTTCTGTGCAATTGAGGAGACGCTTGACTCCAGCGTCACTAATCCCCTTAACAAATACACTGAGTGAGGGAATGCTTTTGAGGAGGATGTATGTGTTGGCCATGAAGTATATCCATCGCTATTCGTAAGACAACTTGCCCAAAAGAGAAGTCATTTAACGAAGGACGGACTTTGACATAGTTGCATGTAAATAATGTGTGGCGTTCATGCTTTCTTGCCATTTGGTTCTCACCTCAGCGCTACCCAGTCATATCTGTCTGGATTCTGTCCACCCAGTAGACGGGTGGAGCGGTTTCTCATGTTCACTTCATTTACATCTTCATACAGGTACAGTTGACAGCCCAAAACGAAGTTTTCCAGATGGATTACAGTTAGTCTGGCCTTAGTTGTTAGTGTTGCTCCCACAGACCACAGTGCTAGGGTAGACGTCATTTTCAGACCTGGTGCTGGGGATCGTCACTGACTCTCTCATCCACAACAAGCACACTTCTTCCGTCTCGCTAAGATTATCATGCAGCAGTAGAAATGAGAGTGGATGTCCCCCAGAGTTGGGTTCGGCTTCCACTACGACTAAGGTAGACCATCGAGACATCCCAGAAGAAGAAAAAAGACACATTAATGGAGGAAAATATGCATTATTGACGTAGGGTAGGGATTGTGTCTACTGGCCTGACTCCAGCCAGGTAGATCTGAGTCTCATTTGTTGTTTTGACTTTAGTAAATGAAAGATTGAGGTAAAACATTTCATCAATATTTCATTTCGCATGTAGACTCCCACGAAATATGCAAATTGTAGTAAGGATTATGAGGTGTATGCATTGGAATCGCAGGGTGTGTAATTAGTGAATAGCTAGGGAATGACCAAGGCAGTATTCAAAGTGTTACATCAGTCTCAATTTTATGCATTCTCGTTCACAATATTTCAAGCTGTGTCAGGCCGGTTTACCCCGGAACTAAACAAATGAATGCTGCGAATGTGGATACAATAATTGCATTCAGTGGATTGTCCAAGATCACAAACCAGTTATCATTCAACACATATGAGGAATTCCAAAAAACCCGAGTTTTGAAAAAACTGACACTCGAAATACGCTGATCAAATCGTGATGGCAGTCAAGGTTATTGCTTTTGGCCAATCGCGTTCGTTCGTTTGGCTTGAACACCTAACACGCACTGCTTTCGCCCTCCCTTGGTCACGCTTTGCCCTTATGCTTGTCCAGACAAATTCCACACACCATGGTTACATTTCACATTGCTTTATAAGGCTG